TTTTTTTTTGGTACTGGGGATCAAACTCAGGACCTTGCGCTTGTGAGGCAGGTGGTGGAACCACTGAGCTAAATCCCCAGCCCAGTCTTTGCTTTTTGATAATCAATATGTAATAAACAATTGTCATCTTAAAATTACTGAATATTCTTCTAGTATCTAAGTTTAAATATCTATTTATAGTTCTAGTCTATAAACATAATTAGTTCAATCAATGCTGTACCGGTATTTAGATGGTTTTTAATTTTTTGCACCTACATTGCATTAAAAATTCTCACAGGGTGAGTTCAAGGCCAGCCTGGAATATAACGAGAGACCCTGTCTCCAAAAAAAAATCTCATAGGGCTGGGGAAGTAACTCAGTGGTAGAGAGCTTTCCTAGCATGCTTGAGGCCCTGGATTCAATCCTCAGTACCTGAAAAAAAAAATCTCATATATAAATCCTAATTACATCCAAAATTATTAAATTATTTTTTCTCAGATTAATTACTAGAAGTAGAACTGCTAAACCAAAGAAAATTTGATACTTCTTTCCAAACTGTCAAACTAACTTTCAAAAAGGACCTATAGCCGAGGATTTAGCTCAGTGGTTTTGTCGCCTGCCTCGCAAGCGCAAGGACCCAAGTTCAATCCCTGGTACCAAAAAAAAAAAAAGAAAAAGAAAAGGACCTATAGTTTATATATATCAGTTTATACTCCTATCAGCAATACCCAATTCTCACCTTAATTTCAGAGTCATCTTTTCTTTTTGAACACCTATTTCATGTAAACTGGCTGTGGTATGGGCCAGGGATTTAGCTCAGTGGTTCCAGTGCCTGCCTCGAAAGCGCAAGGTCCCGAGTTCGATCCCTGGTACCAAAAAAACCAAAAACAACAACAACAAAAAACAACACACAAATAAACTGGCTGTGGTAGTGCATGCCTATAATCCCAGGAGGCTGAGGCAGGAGGATTACCACAAATCTGAGGCCAGCCTGGGCTACATAGCAAGACCCTGTCTCAAAAAAGAAAGGACTGGGCTGGGGATTTACCTCAGTGGTTCCGTCACCTGCCTTGCAAGCACAAGGACCTGAGTTCAATCCCTGGTACCAAAAAAAAGAAAGCACTAATGTATGACCTTTTTATTTTCATTCAAATTACTTTCATTGCTACTTACTTTGAATTTTAAAAATATTTATTATCAAACCAGGTATGGTAGCACATGCCTATAATCTCAGCAGCTGGGTGACTGAGGCAGGAGGATCACTGCAAGTTCAAAGCCAGCCTGGACTATATAGTGAGTTTAAAGCCAACTTGAACAACACAGTGAGACCCTGTCTCAAAAAACAAAACAAAACCATACAAAACAAAGCAAAATACCAAATTCAAGCCCAGCCCTGGCAATTTAATGAGACACTGTCTCAAAAATAAAAATTTAGGAGGGCTGGGGATTTAGCTCAATGGTACCTCATCTGCCTTGCAAGAACAAGGTCTTGAGTTTGATTCCCAGTACCAAAAAAATAAAAATTTTAAAAGGGCTGAGGATATAATTCAGTGCAAAGTCCCTGAGTTCAAGTCCTAGTACCGGAAAAAAAATTATCATTGTCTCACTGTGTAGCCTAGCCTGGCCTTGAACTCACAGTCCTCTTGCCTCAGCCTCCCAAGTGCTGGGATTACAGGTGTGCGCCACCAGGCCCCACAAGTGTATCAAATTGTTGCATATTTTTTACTTTTTTTGTTGTGCATGATTGTTTTAAATTGGTTTTTTTTTGTTTTGTTTTGTTTTTGGTACCAGGGATCGAACTCGGGACCTTGCACTTGCGCAGCAGGCAGCAAAACCACTGAGCTAAATCCCCAGCCCTGGTTTTGTGTTTTTGAGACAGGGCCTCACTAGGTAGTTCAGTCTGGCCTTGAACTCACTATGTAGCCCAGGGTGGCCTCAAACGTGCACCAATTCTCCTACTTCAACTTTGTTTTAAGTATTTTTTGAAACATATTTTAGAAAATTTTTTTCTGGTGGGAAGGACTGCCCGAGAGATCCCGAGGCGAGGCTCGCGTGCCCGCTCCCCCGCCCCCGGCCCGGCCCGGCCCCGGCCCCGGCCCCGGCCCCAGAGCCCACCAGGTCACCAGGCCCAGCCATGGTCAAGGCGATCCTCATCTTCAACAACCATGGCAAGCCGAGGCTCTCCAAGTTTTACCAGCCCTACAGTGAAGATACACAGCAAAAAATCATCAGGGAGACTTTCCATTTGGTATCTAAGAGAGATGAAAATGTTTGTAATTTCCTAAAAGGAGGATTTTGGTAATCAGTCTTAAACTGTGTAACTTACTGTGACCTATGGAGTTAAATCTAATTCATTGGAGGATATGACAACAAATTGATTTATAGACATTATGCAACACTATATTTTGTCTTCTGTCTGGATTCTTCAGAAAGTGAACTTGGCATTTTAGATTTAATTCAAGTGTTTGTGGGAAGATTAAACAAATGTTTTGAAAATGTCTGTGAACTGGATTTAATTTTCAATGTAGGCAAGGTTCACAATATTCTTGCCGGTCTGGGGATTTAGCTCAGTGGTTCCGCTGCCTGCCTTGGAAGCTCAAAGTCCTGAGTTTGATCCCCAGTACCAAAAAAATAAAATAAAATAAAATAAATAAAAAATAAATGCTTCTTGGGCCAGGGATTTAACTCAGTGGTTCCGCCGCCTGCTTTGCAAGTGTGAGGACCCAAGTTCGATCCCTGGTACCAAAAACGCCCCCCAAAACCCCACAATATTCTTGCGGAAATGGTGATGGGGGAATGGTATTGGAGACCAACACGAAATGAAATTGTTACACAAATTGATGCATAAAATAAACTGGAGAAATCTGAGGCTAGCTTAGCAGGAGCTCCAGCCCGTGCTGTATCAGCTGTAGAAAATATGAATCTTCCTGAGATCCTAAGAAATGTTAACATTGGTGACATCAGTATAAAAGTGCCAAACCTGCCCTCTTTTAAATAAAATATAAAACAGGCCACTCCCAGGTAAAATCCAGGAGGAAAATTCATCTAAGTTTATCATGAAGTTGTTTACCAAAAATAGTCTTAACTTTTGCTCTTGTATTTAAATCAAGGTACTGCATAGAAGTTGTGTAAAGTCAGCATGAAAGTTTGATGTTCCTTTTCTTGCTCAGTGATTTTAAAGAAATTTTATAGTTCCAGTGTGATTTTTTTTTTTTCTTTTCTAAACTGCATTCCTATGTCCACGTAAGGCATGCCTTTATGTACTGGCTATTACAGTATTTTGAAAGTGAGGTATTTCTTTAATTTTGTTTTGTTTTTTTGGTACCGGGGATTGCACTTGTGAGGCAGGCGGTGGAACCCCTGAGCTAAATCCCCGGCCTGTTCTGAAAGTATTTTTTAACAGCATGAAAGAGAAGGGAGGAAAGTAGTTTTATGTACTAGGCCTATGCTTTCCAAAGCAGTAGCCCTAGCCATATGTGTTTCCTGGACACTAAAATGTAACTAAGTAACTAAAGGTTTTTTTTGGTTTTTTTTTTTTGGTACCGGGGATCAAACTCCGGACCATGTGCTTTTTGAGGCAGGATCGAACTTGGGTCCTTGTGCTTGCAAGGCAAGTGACGGAACCACTGAGCTAAATCCCCGGCCCTCTAAAGTTTTAATGTTATCTTTTTTTTTTTTTCAGTTCTAAAACATTTATTGAGGTATATTTTATATGTATCTATTTCAAGTGTACAAGTATTTTTTTCCTTTTTTTGGTATTAGGAATTAAACCTAGGTCCTCATGCATGCTAGGCAAACTCTCCACCACTGAGGTGCAACTCTTTGCCTTTTTAAAATTTTATTTTGAAAGCCAAGTGTGGTGGTACACACCTGTAATCTCAGCTCTCTGGAGGCCAGGGTAAAAGGATTGCCACAAATTTGAGGCCAACTTGGGTTATACAGTGAATTCAAAGCCAGTCTGAACTATATAGTGAGACCCATCTCAAAAAATAATTTGGGGGGGTACTGGGGATCAAACTCAGGACCTTTTGCTTTTGAGGCAGGTGTGGCACCACTGAGGTAAATCCCTGGCCCTCAAACAAGAATTTTTTTTTCTGGTACCAGGGATCAAAAAAATATTTATTTTATTTGAGACAGGGTCTCACTAAACCGTCCAGGTGGCCTCAAAGTTGTGACCCTCCTGCCTCAGCCTCTTGGGATTACAAGAGCGCACTGCTGCACCTGGCTACAATTATGTTATTATTATTTTGGTGTTTGTGAGATAGAGTTGAGCTCTGTAGTCTAGTCTGGACTCAAACTCGATAAGTGGCCCAGGCCAACTACCTCTCCTCCTCTCTCAGACTCCCAAGTGCTGGATCAAGGCTATGCACTGGCACACTGTGTATAAAATTATTTTTTAAATTTGCGGATTATATCTATAATCATCATCATCATCACTTTTAGGACATTTTCATTTCCCAGTTTTATTTACTTTACCTTTAAATTTGAAGCCAAATGTGGTGGTGCAACTTGTAATCCCAGCAGTCTGAAGGCTGAGCCAAGAGGATCATGAATTTGAGGACAGGAAAGAAAAATAAAGTAAAAATAGAAAATAAATTTAAAAAAATTTTTGAGATGGGGGTTCTCACTATGTATTACAGGCTGGCCTTGAACTTGCAGTGATCCTCACCCCTCAGACTACCCAGTACTAGGATTAGAGGCATGCACCACCATGCATGGCAGAAAATAAATTTAGGTTTAAAAATTCATACTTAGGGGCCAGGGATTTAGCTCAGTGGTTCCGTCACTTGCCTTGCAAGCGCAAGGACCCGAGTTCGATCCCTGGTACCAAAAAAAAAAAAAAAAATTCATACTTAGGGCCGGGGATTAAGCTCAGTGGTTGCGCTGCCTACCTCAAAAGTGCAAGGACCTGAGTTCGATCCCTGGTACACACACACAAAAAAATTCATACTTAATCTAGTTACTGAAAACTTTTACTCACATCACTTTAATAAAAAAAATTTTTTTTTAATTTTTTTCAGGCTCTGAAGAGACGGGGCTTCATGACCTCTGCTCCATTGCCTGAACCTGCCAATTCAAATATGTGCCACCTTGCAAGTAACCTTTCTTTTTTTTTTTTGTATATCCTTTTATTGGTACATTTTAGGTGTACAATATAATGACATTCATCATTGGAGACATATGCACCTTTACATACTCTCTTGGTTCTTACTTTTTTTCCCCCTTCCTCTGCCCTCGAAAGTTACCTTTCTTTATGGTATTATGTCCTTTATTCAACATTTCTTCACATTCCCCAAATTTATCATTCTTTTTTTAATGTCTCATTTATTTATTTTTGAGATAGAATCTCACTACATAGTCCAGGCTGGCCTCAAACTCACTATGTAACTCTGGCTGATCTCAAACTTGCAACAATCCTCCTGCCTCAGCCTCCAGAGTGCTGGGATTACAGATGTGCACCATCAGGTCCAGCTATAATTCTTTTTATTTATTTATTTTGTACTGGGGATCAAACTCGGGTCCTTGCGCTTGTGTAGCAGGTGTTGAAACCACTGAGCTAAATCCCTGCCCTTGACTATAATTCTTTAACTGTTACTATGTCATTTTTTACCATTCCACAGAAGGGATATTAGGGTTCTTTGGACAAAGAGGAAGTGAGTGGGAGAGTGTGCTCTGGGGATTTAGGGGTCTGAATAAAATTTTATTTTAGTTTAGTTTAGTTCTTTTGAGTCAGAGTTTCACTATGTAGTTCAGGTTGGCTTTGAACTCACTATGTAGCCAAGGCTGGCCTTGAACTTTTGGTGATACTCCTGCCTCAGCCTCCCCAGTGCTGAGATTACAGGTGTGTGCCACCAAGTCCATCTGAGTACAAATTTAGGTGACAAGAAAGCAGTATTCTGCAAGTCGGGCTGTAGATTGGGTAATAACAAAAGAAAAGGGTCACGCTGAGCCAATGGCACACACTCGTAATGCTAGGTATTCCAGAGGCCTATGAAGGCAGATTGTGAGTTTGTTCCCTGCTTGGACAGTTTAGTGAGATCAGATCTCAAAATCAATTAAAAAAGTAGGGATGTAGCTCAGTAGTAGAGCACTTGCCTAGCATACACAAGGCTGGGTTCAATCCCCGATACTGCCAAAAAAAAAAAAAAAAAGTTATTCTATTGGAAATCTTCACCAGAAAATAAGAGAAATGCTCAAAATAGTGTTTAAAAATCCTTTGTGTAATTTTCATAATGGCCAGTCATGAGAAAGATAATTACTATGTGAAATGTAACTATATTTGAAAAGATCTGGGCCAGGCAGTTCACATAGTATTTTTATGACATTTAGATGTCAGCTCAAAGGGTCAGCCTCTGTCATCCCAGTGAAATAAGCCATAATAATGACATGCAAGGTTTGTCAACCAAAAAAGCACTGTGTAGACTGTATAAAGATTAGCTTAATGAAAATTTATCAGGAGGATCAAATCTTGTGCTTGAGAAACCAGGACAACAGATGGCAAAAGTGTTAAAGAGGGGCTTAACCTAGAAGAAGCAAGATTTAGGTCATTACTGGGAAGAAAATTAAAAGAAGCCAAATGAGACAGAGGAAATGTTGAAGAAAAACTTTTAGTAGCAAGGGAAAAAAGAAATTGAAGAAATAAAAATTACATGAGTCTTTTTAAATAAAGTAAATTAGTTTCACACTATCTCCTGAAGGGGATAGGGGCCTGTAGAACTTTGCATTGAAGGAATAAAAAAGAAGAGGAAGAAGAGCGTGTTCAGGGGTGTAGTTTAGTGGTAGAGCTCTTACCTAGCATATGTGAAGCTCTAGGTTCAATCCTCTGTACCACAAAAATAATGTAGAAAAAAGTAAAAATAACAGAGAGAGAAAGAGAGAGAGAGAGATATCAGAAGTTCAGATTATGGATCTACAATACCAAATCTGGCTCCATTTCTATTGACTTGATACTGAAAAACTGCAAACAGTTTAATGTCCAGGAATAGGAGATTGATTTAAAAATTATACTGTGTCCATAGATTTCAATGCAAAAAAATTTTTGAGAAAGGATCATGCTATGTAGTTCAGGCTGGCCTTGAATTTATGGAGATTCTCCGGCCTCAGCCGGAGTGGTAGGATTACAGGCCTGTGCAATCATGCCCAGCTTGCAATAGTGTATAAATTTGAGATTTACATATCTAAATGCACAAAATTTGCTGTATCTCAGTAATTTGGAGAAAACCAGCCAGGAGTGGAAGTATACACCTATAATCCCAAGTAAGCAGAACAGCAATTTATTTTTTTATTTTTTTTTAGGTACCAGGGATCAAACTCCGGTCCTTGCACTTGCGCAGCAGGCGGTGAAACCACTGAGCTAAATCTCCAGCCCCAAGAACAGCAATTTAGCTAGACCTTGTCTTGAAATAAAAGGGCTGGGTGTAGCTCAGCAGTAGAGCTCCTGCCTATTATGCTCAAAGCCCTAGCTTCAACTCCCAGCAGTCCAAAACAAAACAGAAAGAAAAACAGATTATATCCTAGGAGGTATATTAAGATATTTAGGTAAAAATAAACCTGCATTAAGATTTCAGAAAATGTGTACAGATCTATACCAAATAGCTAAGAGTGGATGGTTTTGGAGAAAGAATCACATAGAAATTTTCACTGTTTCTGTATTAAAATTTTTACAATAAATTTATATTATCAGAGCCTTTGTTTTGTTTTCTTCTGCTGCTATGAAGTGTTGCCCCTCTCCCACCCTGGCTTGGAGCCAGTTGATTATGGACTGAAACCTCTATGAACTGTAAGCCAAATAAATCCTTTCCTCTCTTAAAAAAAAAACAACCAATCTATATCATCAGAAAAAAAATCCCAAACTTTGGGCTGGGCATGATGGCACACATCTATAATCCCATCACGCTGAAAACCTGATGCCAGAACATCACAATGTTGATCCCAGCTTCGGCAATTTAGTGATTCAGAATTTGCAAATGAGAAGAGGATCAAGAGATGGAGGGAGGGGAAAGGAAAGAAGCCTAAAAAGAATTAAAATGTGGGCTGGGGATTTAGCTTAGTGGCACAGCGCCTGCCTTGCAAGCGCAAGGTCCTGAGTTCGATCCCTGGTTCCAAAAAACACAAAACAGAAAAAGAATTAAGATGTGTGTGGCAAGGGTGAGGCCCTGAGTTCGATTCTGGATACAAAAAAAAAAGATTTAAAATGTGTCATGCACATGTACCAACTCCCCATTGTAACAGGAGTTAGTGAGGCAGAAGTTAGGATTCTATTAGACATCAAGGACACTTGCCCCAAAATGGAGTCAGGAAGCCCAAAACAGAGTCTGCAGAGTCATCACCCTCCAAGGATTTTAACAAAAGCCTCTGCTAGGGGTCCTGTGGCTGTCTGGGACCTCCCTGGAGCATGACCGGGCAGGACATTGGCTCAAGGGTGCAGGGCCCTGTATGGACACTGTAAACACTACATAGATTGGACCCTATAAGGTATGTAGTCTCTTTTAGGGTAGAGATTATATTGCTCACACAATGGCCTGAAAATCCCTTAAAAATCCTAGACAAAGAGCCCTCATAGGTATCCTACTCAGAACCACCTCCTGGCTTTCTTGCCTTTATATTTTTAATTTCCTTGCCTTTATAGCTTTTACTTTCTTGGCTTTATATCTTTTAAATAAATTTGCTGACACGCTACCTCCTCTGTCCACAGTTTCACTTTTCAACATGTTAAGAGATGACCCAGGTGTTTCTGGCGCCTGCCTCGAAAGCGAAAGGTCCCAAGTTTGATCCCCAGTACCACAAAAAAAAAAAAAAAAAGACATGACCCAGACTTTCTGGTAACATGTCTGTAATCACTATGTACTGCAAACATGTACTAATTAAAATTAAAAAACAACAGAAAAAAACAGTGACTTAGAGACCCTGTCTCAAAAAGGGGATGTATTGGGGTTGTAGCTCAGGGCTAAGGCCCTATGGTCTCCAGTACCCCCCAAAACAAACAAAAGGGCCTGGCATTTAGCTCAGTGGTTCCACCGTCTGCCTTGCAAGTGGGAGGATCCGAGTTCGATCTCCGATACCAAAATAACCCCAAAACCAAAAAACAAACAAACAAACAAAAAACAGAAAAAAGGAAAAACAAATATGATATTTCCATTTGGAAAGCATTAAAATAATGAGGGTGGGGCTGGGGATTTAGCTCAGTGGTTCCAGCACCTGCCTTGCAAGTGCAAGGTCCCAAATTCTATCCCCGGTACCAAAAAAAAAAAAAAAAAAAAAATGAGGGGAGGAAGAAAAAAATTGGAAGTCTTGAGAAGGCATGATTGATGATTTTTCTTTAAATAAATTTTATTTTATTTTATCCCATTTGCCCCCAGGCCCTTCCTCTCCCTATGTACAGAAGCTTTATTTCCATTTTTTCCTTCTATTTTTACTTTGTTTCTTGTCCCTTCCTTTCTCCCTTCCTCCTTGTTCCCCTTCCCATTTGAACACTTTCTTCCCATTTCCCAACATCCATTATACATTTCGGTCCTTATTTCCACTTTTGATCTCTCACACCAGAGAAACAATGAAGTATTTAAACATGTACGAGGGTGTGTGGGGGGTGGGGGGATGTTTAGCTCAGTGGTGCCACCGCCTGCCTCACCAGCGCAAGGTCCTGAGTTCGATCCCCGGTACCAAAACAAAAACAAAAGCAAAAACAAAATAAACATGTGTGTCGATTTATTTCACTTCAGAGCATGCTCTCAAGGCCTATTTAGCTATAATTTATATTGTAGAAGCTAGAACATCAACAATCTATTCCTAGAGTCTACAATGTAAATTCCTCACTGTGATTTTACACACTGCCAAAAAGCTTTAATTTTTTTTTTTTTTTTTTTCAAAAAAGGCTTTTGATATAAGGAAAATCCGGGCCGGGGATTTAGCTCAGTGGTGCCTCCCCACCTGCCTTGCAAGCTCAAGGTCTGCAGTTTGAGCCCCAGTAAAAAAAAAAAGAAAAAGAAAAATCCGTATGATGGAATGCTATATTAGATAACAATCAAACAATCAATCTATTAAATGTTGATTAGTATACGTACACAAAATCCAAAATAGGGTTTGTAAATAAAAGGACTACAAAATAAAGCATGGTGCTAGCTTGTTATAGGGGAAATAATGACCTTGAAATGAGTTTGAGGAAGATACAAAATTTGAAGACCAAAACTGTCCTCAGTTTTGGGTCATAGCTGATGTATAGACCAGTATATTGAGTATAAAAAACACTTAGAAGTGTCAACCAGGCCGCCCAGCCTCTGGGCCTAAGTGAGTGCTGTAAAAAATAAATACAGTAAGAAATATATAATATAAATAAATATATATATATACATATATGGGACAGTCTATTTGCTTGTCCTAGAAAAACAGGAGAGAATACTACTAATAATAATTTAGTATATTTTGTTCTTCTAGGCTTTTTAATTTTGCCTTTTGGTTTAAAACAATGCACGCATATAGAAAAAAACTCACAGAGACACCAGTGAGAAAGGTAAGTTTCTCTCAGCAAAGCCAATAGCTAGCTTTCTTGTGAGTCTCTCTGGAACTCAGAAGTAACTCAAAACTAATGCATAACACTGCCTTCACATATTCATGTATCTCTTAAAATATTCACAAATGCAGTGACGTCTGATAGTGTGTTACTTTACCTACTCACAGGTGGGCCTGGCCCTGGCTAGCACGGAGGCCCTGGGTTCCATAGTGATACTGAAGGTGAGGTTGCTCCTCAACAGCTGCCCGGAAGTCTCCGCTTTCAGAGTAGAGCTGGACCTGTTCACAGGGTGGCTGGCGGTGACTGAAAGCCAGACACTGGGCCTCAAGATGAGGGTATTTAAGAGACCAGAAGCCGCGGGCCAGGCCAGTGTGGTTGGCTTGTAGATCATTAGTGAGGGAAAGGAGAGCAGATGAGAGCCGAAGCGTTCTTAAGAAAGCTAGCTAACCCTCGGGGGAGAGGAGCTTTCACCTTTGTCGTTGATAACCCTTTCCGGTAATGTTTGAGAAAAATGTTTTTTTCTTATATGCATGTATTGCTTTAAACTAAAAAGCAAAAAAAAAAAAAAAAAAAAAGAACACTTCCTTTATTTTTGGTACTGGAGAGGAATAGGGAAATCGGTTGGCTTGGGTAGAAACGTGTGGTGGAAAGAAAGGGCCTGACAGGGCGGAGAAGAGCTCCAGGAGGAAGCTGACAGGAAATGAGAAACGCCTGGGAAAACTGTAGGGTTGGTTAGTTTTCTACATTTAAACATGGTCTGCTCATCATCGCTCCATCCCCATTCTAAAAAAAGTCCTTTCTTTATCCATACAGCGTGGCGGAGTTTTCTTTTGGCGCGTTTTCATTTTCTTAAGCCCGAGGCCAGGGCAGATTTCTCGCGCACGCTGACTGTAGCCTTTGCCCCTCCCCGCCCTCGCGCCGCGGGAATTCCGAGCTGTGGGCCCGCCTTCCGCTAAGCGCTCTAAACAGCAGACGTTGGACATTGAAGCCGCCAGTCAGACCGCCCAGATACCCGGATGTGAAGCGGTGCGCGATACAAAGGCGAATTTCCACCCCCACTCCGTCTCGTACAATGGCCAATAACCAGTCTTTAGGTACTAAGTGACAGGATAGATAACCAGTTACAAACTAGTTTCTGTCACGCATGTGGAAATTGTGGGGTTTAGCCTCACCCACTGCTGATTGTGATTGGGTAAAATTGTGAAGAGCGGCAGAGTTGTTTAATTAGCAGCGGGAGCGAGAAAAGGCTCAGCCAATAAGGAGGCTCTTAGGAGTGGGGCGGGGGCTAGGCCTTCGCCTCGGCGGCAGAGGAGACTCGGGGGCCATTTTGTGAAGAGACCAAGACTGAGCGGTCGTGGCCGCGTTGCCGACCTCGAGCAGCAGTCGACTTCACATAGAACCTGGGAGCAGGAGATTCGGAATCGAATCTCTTCTCTCATCCCTCTCCTGGTAAGTGGAGAGGGTGGACGGCAGCGAGGCGCTGGGTTTCTCAGGGGGCTCGAAGGAGTGTGGGAGAAAAAGACGAAGGAATTCTTCACTCGGTGAAGTAACCAGGCCTCATTTGTTGGGTTTGAACTCGGGAGAGTTTTTCAGGCCATAACCTCTGCATAGGTTTAACCTACTTTACTCTAGGCCACGATCGTCAGGCAAAATGTCCTTTTGTCGCTGTGGCGTTTAACGGCTGCTTTTTTCCTTTTTACGACCGTCAAGACTGGAGAAACCGTGAAAGTGAAGATCGAGATGCTCATTAACATAATTTGAAGTTAATGTATTATTGATGCCTTCTGTTCCGTCTGTTGCCTTAAATTTATTTTTGCTTTTTGGTTCGTTATTTTTCGTTGTTTTTTGAGACGGGGGTCTCTGTATTCCGGGCTGGCCTTGAACTCGGAGTGATCCTTCTGCCTCAGCCTCGACTGCTGGGATTTCAGTTGTGCGTCACCAAGCCGGCTGCCTTAAATTTAAAATTTAGGCGGGGGATGGGACAGGATTACCAAGTACATGTTTCGCGAGCCTCTGAATTCCAGATCCTGCTGAATGCCTAGAGTTAGGGGGGGGTTTTGTTTTTGTTTTTTTGGTGTTTTGAGACAGGATCTCACTAAGTAGTTCAGGCTGGCCTCGAACTGGCAGCAATCCTCCTGCCTCAACCTCAAACTCCCCTCCCCCCCACCTCTTCCCCCG